GCGATGCAGAATACAGCTTGCCTACCTCGAATACTCTCTCTCTCTCTCTCTCTCTCGAAAGTCACCCCAAATTTCGATAGAATTTTTATTACCTTTATTTTTTACTTTAAATTACCTTTTTAATTTAAAAGTAATCTAGAATCCTTTATTTGAAGAAAAAACTTTATATGAGGCGAGGCCAAAAACAATCAAGCTAAAGCGCACTTCAAAAATTCACTAGAATAAATTATTTTAATGCAAAAAATCTTTAAATTGATCATCTTTTTTTTTGGTTAATTTAGTGGGGATAACGAGTCCTAAACCGTTTTTTGAAATCGTTAGTGATTTTTTAATGCGTTTGGTGAGAATGGAGGCCTAGACATTAACTGGAGCACAAGTGGTGCTACCACCTCGATGTACGGACATGAAAAAGAAAGATTTCAAGTCTTGAAAATAGTACATCTTGTAATGCATTTCTTGACCGTCAATTGTCAAGATTTTTAAGTGTTCAATCTATACTATTTTTAAAATTTTAAATTTTATAATTAGAGATGAAAATAAGTTTTTAGACCATCACAAAGATTTCCAGTATTAAAACATCTTTCGACTCCATTTGAAGGCGCACATGCCTTTGATAGTTTAGGGACTCGGCCTTATATAAACTACAAATTTAAATCCCCATTGCGAATTAGAATGAGATTAGTCATTAAGGGGCTTATGCCTCTCAACAAAGGGAACCGCCATAGATTTTCATCAAACTATTGTGGAACAAATCTTCTCTCTATTCAATAAATTGTTTCCACTTGACCTAAAATTTTTTTACTACAATTAAGTAGGTCTCTTGATTCCTCATGAGTTTTTTGGGCTATAGAGAGTACTAAATCCATTTGTGCACATGCATTCAATTCATCCAATAAAACATGAATTATTGGAGATGGTTAGAGGTTTCATGAGTAGAGAAGAAATTTTTAAAGGGGTCAATTCTACTTTTATAACTCTTATCCCCAAGAAATTGATTATCATTGAGCTTTCAGATATTGGACCTATAAATCTTCTTACCAATCTTTAGAAGATCGTGGCAAAGGTGTCGTAAGAATGCCTTAAAATTGTGCAACCTCTCATTATCTCCAGCACTCAATCAGCTTTCATTTAGGATCGTCAAATTACGAACAATATTTTAGTGGCTCAAGAATGCATTCACTCTAAGCTAAGATCTCAAGTCCCTGAAGTCATCATTAAGTTAGACATGAAAAAGGTATATGATAGAGTCGATAGGGCGATGAGAAATATGGGTTTTGGAGATAAATGAAGAAGCTGGATATACGAGTGTCTTTCTGTACTTTTCTATACTTATAAGGGGAGTCTTATCGTTTTTTTAATGCCTCTAGGGGACTACGGCAAGGAGATCATCAATTACAGTTTTCGTTCACGATTTATGCTGAATGCTTTGCCTGATGATTCAAAGAGTGGAAAATAGTAAAAACTTTTCAATGTTTAAGGTGAATGAATTGGGTCCAAGTGTATCTCATATGCAATGCGCATGATGCACTCATCTTTTACAAGGCGGAGGAGGGACAAGTTAGAAATATTGCTACTTTTTTGAATTGCTGTAAGGTGGCCTTAGGTTTAAAGGTTAACTTTTACAAAACCTCGATGATTGGAATTAATTGTTCTTCTCCTACTATTCAGGTTTTGGCAAATTTAAAGGGCTGTAAGGTTGGTTCATTTCTTATTACCTATCTGGAAATGCCCATTTCATATTCTAGGTCTTCTATTGTTGTTTGAGATAAAGTGTTGGAGAGAATTCAAGTTAAACTAGACCTTTGGAAGCTTAAATATTTATCTAAGGAAGAGAGGGTGACCTTGCTTAGATCTTGTGTAGCTAACTTGCCTATCTATCAAATGTCTCTTTTGTAGATGCCGGTCTCAGTCGTTATAAAATAGAAAGAATGATGCGCAACTTTCTATGGGGCTACTATGGGGAAAAAAGGAAGTTTCACCTTTTGAGGTGGGATCGCACTCCTAAGAGTGAGGGAGGGCTAGGTATTAGGAAAGTGAAAACAGTGAATGAGGATTTGTTATGTAAATGGTGGTGACGAAGTTTTCTTTTCAAGGATCATCTTTGGTATAAGGTCCTATCATTGAAATATGGTCTTGATAGACAAGGCATGTGGTTTGGGGTGTGGGGGTGTTGAAGCATGTCTAAACTATGGAAATTTATTTACAGATGTAAACCAATGGTTGAGGGATATTTTTAGTGGAATGTGGGGTGTGGAGAGCATATTTCATTCTGGCATCATACATTATTAGGGGATATCCCTTGCAAATTTGTTTTCCCATATCTTTTTTCTAAGGTTAGTATGCCTAATGCAAAGGTAATGGATGTTGCTGAAGTCAGAGGTAATGAGGTGTCCTAGATCGTGAATTTTCCCTACAGTAGGCTTAATGAAAGTGATTTTTCACAATGAAGTGAACTAATGGGTATGCTGGATGAGGTATACATTTTGCAAAGAGCAGTGGATGAGTTAGTTTGGGAACCGGAAAGTGATGGTGTGATTTAAGTCATGCTATATATTGTTTTTAAACGATAGATGGAGATAGTATTTGCTTTCAATAGCAAATATTTGGAAGTGGTTTATTCCTCATAAGGTATATGTTTTTATATGGTTGGTTGCTCAAGATAAAATTTTAATGGTTGACAACTTGATCAGGAGAAGCAAAATCTTACCAAACATTTGCTTGCTTTGTAAAAGAGATGCGGAATCAAGTGCACATCTTTTCATTCAATGTTCGGTGGCCTCTAGGATATGGTATTGGTTGTTTGGGCAACTTGGGGTTAATGCTTCACTACCCCAATCTATGATGCGTTTGGCATCACAGTTAGCCTTACAACATTTGTTGTATTTAGAAAGTATGGTGTGGAAGATAGTAAGAGGGGCAGTCCTATGGGATCTGTGAAAGGAGCAAAATAAGACCTTTGATGGAGTAAGCTTACCCTTTGATAAGCTACTATCTAAGGTTAAATTATCCATATGGTGTTGGTTATTGGGTTACAAATGAGGGTTTGGGGATCACACAACCAGATGTTACAGTTAATTTGCAAAACCTTTTTTTGATGGGAGTTTTCAAGACAAGACAGAAGGATTTGGATGGCACAAATGAGGGTTTGGGGATCACGCAACCAGATGTTACGGTTAACTTGCAAAACCTTTTTTTGATGAGAAATTTCAAGACAGGACAAAAAAGTATTTAGATGGCACTTAATTTAGGAGAATTCAAATTGAACTACGATGGTAGCTCTTTGAGGAATTCAGGACAAGCAAGTATTGGTGGTCTTCCAAAATTGGTTTGGTGATGTCGTTTTCACCTATGTAGGACACGGTATAGCCACTACGAATCATGCATAGTTACTTTCCTCACTTCAAGGATTGAAAGTATTCATTTCTAAAAACCTTCGAAACTACTACGTGATCGAAAGAGACTCCTTGAATGTTATTATTTAATAAGAAACAAATGGTACCCTGGGAGTTAAAGTCTTGCTGGCAGCAGATTATGGTTTATTAACTCTTTGGCACACTTTCTTGCTAAAAGGGGAGTGTCTTTGCCTTCTCTTTCGGTCTCCTCTAATGTAATCTCCTTCGTATAAGGATTTTTTAATAAATTACTGAATTTTGTAAAAACAAAAAAAAAAAAACATGGTTCCCATGCAAACCAAGAAATTTATTTGCAAATAAGTAACATACATAGATATTCTAGAATACAACAAACTTAAAATTTCCTATTATAAATTTTTTTATAACAAAAAGCTCTTACAAATATAAAAATTACATTAAAAATAACTTGTTTAAAAATTTTGAAGACATATTTGTAATTTTAAATTATTTTTATAGATTTATTCATTATTCAAGAAATCAAAAGAATCTTTTTAAATTTGAAATTGAATTTTACAATGATTTTAAAAAGACAAAAATATTCCTCCTAGAATATATAAACTATCAATAGTCAAAAGTCATGTTTGTTGAACGCTGAGGGCATCTTACGATCAAATATTTTGGGATAGTAATTTCTCATGGAAAAAGTTTATATAAAGATGCAACCTTATAATGTAGAACCTTATAATGTAGAACTACAGATGCACCTCAAAAATCCACGAAAAAGTTAATCTTAATGTTGAAAAACCCCTTGATTGATCATCTTGACATCGAGATGTATGACCATGAAAAATAAAAAAAAATAAGTCTAAAAAATAATGCATTTTACAACATATTATCTACACCGTCCATTTTACAGCTACGGATGCATCCGTATGCCAACTGCACCCATTTCTAATTTCACCATCAGTTGGTATATTCTAAAACAACCTTATATCATAATAAATTTTTAAAAAACACATGTTTGCAAAATAAATTCCCAACAAAACTTTTGAACGGAAAGTGGGAAGTGCTATATAGATTACGCCCAACCCGAAAACCAAATCTCGGTCAAAAGAAGTCAACATTGGCTAAACCGGTTAGGAGCAAGTGTTGATGCAAAACCTCAAACCCATTAGAAAAACATATTTTCCGGCCAAAATCCAAAAACCTTTTAGAAGGCCCGCATTCTATCCTCGACCCTGATTGTGAAATCCAAAGCTGCACGAATGGCGCAAAATATAATGGACTCATAAAAAACTTGAAATAGACAAGTTGCAAGATTAACCATTTCTAAGACTCGGAATCCATTTTTTAAAAAAGAATAACAATAATTCGTTAGTCATCCAAATGAAGATGATCAACTTACCATTTTGTTGGCGCCAGAACTGCATTTTCAGGTGAAGTTTTGCGTATTAAGCAACCTTACGAGATACTTTTCCTTGGGTTAATTTTTTTATGACATTGGTCCAGTCTTGACCACGTTTCTCTTCACATAACATGGATTTTTTTCTTCACATAACATGCATATTTTTCCAAATCCTAGGCTGATAAGCTTAATTGCCTGATACAACATGGAAACCAGGAAAAAAGCTAAATAAATATCAACAAAGCCAATATAAACCAGCATAATGGAAGAAGGAAAATCAGCTATACAAATATCAACAGCACTATTAAGTTACAAGCCAAGGGCGTGATGCTTCCAACCTTATACTTCTCACGAAATGCATACCAGGCCCCAAAGACCAATTGCACTATAAAGAAGAGGGCACTACACGCAAGTGAATCGTCGACTAAAAAAACAGTTCCTCAGATTCCATAGGTGATGACCAATATCTTGTAAGCGCTTGCACAGTTAACCGCCGTGTTGCGCTGAGCATTGAGATAAAGAAGCGGCACCCATCAATCTTGTATTCTTCAAGTGGATTCCGATGCCCAAAACTCCTCACATTGACCTGTCAAACCAACTTGCATGGGATTAGTTTTCTGCATTTTTAAATTGTAGAATATTAAGAAAAGAATTTAGAGATAGCAATATATGTTTTACCGCCGAACTGAGTTGATTCATATTTATCAAGTGATCCCTCCAGAAACAATCAAGAGTCTTCACAAAGATCGCTCTCTGCATACGAATCATTACTGAATTAGCATCAGCCATGCATAAGGCAGAACGCTGTCTGTCTATACTCGTGCACTAGCAAACCAAACTTGTAAAATGACATGTCATTTAAATAGCAAGAAATAACTAAACGGACCTCAAGAAACACAAATCATCAAAGTAAAGAAAGTAATATTAGAAGAAAAAAAAGATGTACCCTTTCAGATGATACGGTGGACAGATGATGGTGTGAGCTGACATGGTTTTTTTTTTATATAAGTTGACATTGTATTGATGGTAGAGGAAGATACATAAGAAAACCCAAACGGGTGTACAACAAAAACCCAATCGGGTGTACAAAAGTCACCGAGGTGGGTGACGATTAAAAGAAACAGCTGAAACAAACCCAAACCAAAGAAAAGAAACAAAACCGACAGGAAAACCCCAAAAGAACCCAATCGGTGCTACAGAGGACCATTGAGAACATGAGGCGCAATAATATAAGGGTCCTAGTCATTCCATCGTTGCTCCTTGTTTAGCTAGCTCGTCTGCTGTTCAGTTGGCCTCCTTCCAAATATGTCTCCAAGAGACCTGTGTATGCCTGCAGAGAATGTAAATCTGGTCAAAGATGTGCCATAATAGCCAAGGAGGGCGAGCCGAGTTGGATGCCCATAAAACAACATTCTTGCAATCCCCTTCTATGATGAGTGAGGGACCCCATGCTGGATCGAATAGTCTTAGACCTTCAAGGAGAGCTCGTGCCTCAGCCTCCGTGGAATTTGAAGTCCCAATGGAGGATGCGAAGGCTAGGAGGGTGACGCCCGCATGATAGCGAAGGATCCCCCCTATTCTGGCCGGACCTAGGTTGCCCAGGGAAGAGCCGTCGAAATTGAGTTTAATGAACCCCCTCTCAGGGGGTCTCCAGAGAGAGGAGCGAGAAATCCTCAGGCGTCTCACAGACAGAATGGGAACCCAATTCTGTCGAAAATTCAGGCTTGCCAATCCCTTGAAAAGGGGGATTCTGGAAGCCCAGAAAGCTACTAGGGCCTTAATTTATTCCATGGTTTTGTGTGGCGAGGCGTAGCTCCCTTGGAAGATCCTGGCATTGCGTTCCTTCCAGATCGACCAGATGGTGGCCGCAACTGCAATCTTCCAGAGAAGTCGGCCAGCTTTTGGCCATGGTAAAGAGCCCGAGATCTTGAGAAGATCGAGGATGGACGGTGGGGTAACCCAAACCCATCAGAATAAAGAAAGTACTTCCCCCCAAAGGTAAGAGGCCACCCCACAGTGCAACAAAAGATGGTCTGCTGATTCTTCTTCATGAAAGCACATGGCGCATCTGTTGGGTAGCTGGATTCCCCGTATTTTGAGTTGATCAGGTGTAAGAATTCTACCCCACAGTACAAGCCAAGCAAAGAATTGAATCCTTGGAGGAACAGGGCAGTTCCAAGCTAAGGACCATGAAGGAACAGAGGGAGCAGAAGGGATATGGGTGCAGGTTAGGGCTCTAAAAGGGGAGTCAACAGAGAAGGCACCCGAATGGTTAGGGGTCCAGATGATACGATCCCGACCAGGGGAAGAGGCGGGGAAGGCTGAGAGCAGCGGGGAGAGGAAAGGAAGGAGTCCAATTCCTCATTTCGCAGTGGCCTTCGGAAGTCCGGGTTCCAAGACTGAGACGAGCCCAAAATCGGAAAGAGGTCTTCGACGGAATCCAAGGGGTTCCTGGCCAGACTGAAGAGAGATGGGAAGCGAGATGCTAGAGGAGCTTCCCCTACCCATAGATCAGACCAGAAGACCACCTTATCTCCATTCTTAGCGTGAAACCTAATGAGAGATTTGAAGAGAGGTAAGGAGTGAAGGATAGAACACATGAAACCCAATAAGTCTTGGGGGGTTCTAGATGGAATACTCCAAGGAGAAGAGGTTAACCAGTATTTGGAGGATATGATTTGATGCCAGAGTCCCCCAGGTTGAGTGGCTAGCCTCCACCACCATTTGCAAAGTAGGGCAAGGTTTTGAAGTTTAAGGCTTCGGATCCCTAGGCCCCCTAGGGATTTGGGGAAGCATGCAGTTCTCCAAGATAAGAGATGGAACTTCTTTATAGGGTTGTCACCCGACTAAAGGAAATTCCTCATAAGCGTTTCCAACAGGTCACACACCGATGCCGGCAGGTGAAAGAGAGACATCTGGAAAGTAGGCAAGCCTGCCAGGACAGCTTTGACTAAGGTTAGTCTCCCTGCAGGAGAAAGGTATCTACCTTTCCACCCTGCCAGCATCTTTTCGGCCCTATCCACCACGTGGCTCCAAAGGGATTTCTTGGGTTTGCCAAGGCATAAAGGCAAACCAAGGTAAGTAGATCATGTTTTCCATTTAAAAATGGTTTCTAAAAAGCAGCAGACATGTTTTCACAAGATACTCTAAGAGTTGCAGCAGAATTTGATAATGCGAACAACAGTAAATAACAATCTCATTATAGAATGTGAGGTATAATATTTTTTATTATGTTTATTGGTATGGGGTATGAGTTGGCATAGAATATGGAAAAAAAATTTATAGAAAGAGTACACGATATGAGAAAGCAAGAATCCCAAATATTAAAACCTAAATTGTGAGGGGCACCTAATGTATTTCATAACCAATATCCTGCTCTCAGGGCAGGAAAAATGGATAAACCTTTATTTACTGTTCAGAAATTACCCCAAAACCTAAAAACAATGACTAAAGTATCAACTATGTAATCTGCATCCCTAAATGGCCTTGTCACGCATCTGGCAGGCCAACTTGGTTACAAAGACACTTTTAAATATTGTCACACCTAGTGTTCAATTCCATGGCTCTTGCAAAGTACTCAGCCCCTTGCTGAGAGGAGTAACTCAAGTGAGTCCTAGTTGACATGCCCGTCTCCTGCCCGAGCTGGAAAAAGGCCAAAAGTTTTAAAAATAAAAACTAAAAATTGTGAAATTATGAAAAAAGAAATATAATAAAACAACAAGAAAATATAAATGAAAAATATATAAAGCACAGAATGAGAAAAAAATAAATGTTGCTGCATTGAAAAATCAAAAAAAAAAAAAAATGAAAAATGAGGAAATCAGAAAAAGTAGAAAAATAATGAAAATCATAAAAAACATAATGGTATAAATAAAATAAATTATAAATCCCTCCTAATTGATACAGTCCAAAATAAATCACCTTTATGAAATTAAATTAAAAAAATATGTAACAAGCGCAAAATTCTGAGGCTGATCCCCTAATCTTCACACTTGGGCAGAATTGAAGCCTCAAATCCTTGTCAAAGCTTCCTACACAACCCAATTGAAACCCCAAAATTAAATTTGGGTTTCGAGTTCCTTTCTAGGAGATGTGAGCTCTTGAAAGCCCAGACGAATAATAAATTGAAATTTGAAATCTCACAAATCCTAATTTTTGTGTTTCTCATGAAAATCAAGCTTATGGTTGGATGAGAGGGCTTAGGATCAAATTTCATCAAGGATCGCCATACATTCGATGAAAATGGAACTTTTTGAGATTCGGTCAAAAACTTGGCCAAAAATTTCTCTCTCAACTTTGTCTAATATGATGGTTTTTTCCTCAAATCTAATGCTTCTATAGATAAATTAGACGAAAATCTTACGATAGACACAAATTTGGCTCAAATCGCACACCCAAGGGCCTCTAATCCAAAAGGAGTGGGGGGCAATTCATTTAAATTCAACAGTACAGTACTCCGGCAAGTACTGTAGCGACACACCTGCATGCTATACAGGTTACATACATGTACCTGTTACTGGCTAGGCAAGCAGCTAGGCCCGAAAAACTTGCCCAAGTCCATGTTGACTCGAACAAGTTTTCAAATACTGTCCACACCAATATCTACCCATTTTGATATAAAAGTAGTAGCTTTTGAGAAATGTGTTGGAAACACCATTATGTCCGGATTTTTTTTAATTGGCATAAAATATCTGATTGGCAACACTGATATTTCACTGGTAACAGTTTTGTTTTAAAATATGTCATCCGGGAGATGGTGGTGCATATACACTCATTTCTCCTAAACAATGTCACAAGGCAACTAAATGTGCACTTACCGTAATCTGAAATTTGAAGATCACAAGTCCTGAAATTTGAATGTAATGATTGAATCTCTTTTCTAATAGACCCAAAGCTTTCACTGTCATCTTAGTCTTGTCTCTCATTTCCCCTCGGTCATTTGGCCCCACTCTTGCTCTGCAGCTCTTCTCAAGCTTTGCACCTAAGCCCAAACAATCACATCAAATCTAACCAAACCAGCACCTAAAGCTTCTCTCCAAAGAAGCCGAAATCCATAACAAGTGCTGCCCAATTAGGACAATGGAGTCAACCATGGAGTTCATCTCTCTCATCCAAAACCATGGACAGCATCAACATTCTGCATCTTCCTATTATCCTCCTCAGTCATGGGAAAATCAGAAGATAATCCTTTAGCATCTTGCTCATAATCTTCATTACCATCTCGATCTTCATTGCCATGGGGATTGAAGAACCAGCGGTCACCATTCTCTGCTTCTAGGGCATTGAAATCCTCAAGCGACACCAGTTTGGACTAATTTCTTGTTGAATGCGAGGTAAATTTAGTTGGGTTTCTTGTATGTATCCATAATTAAGTAGACACAGACTGTCAACAATTTGAAGAGGAGTTTGGTGGAGATGGCAACATTTAATAGTGAAGTTTTGAGGGATGAGTCGGAGTTCTGTTGTGGGGTTTGGAGGGAGAAACAAGGGGGAAAAGGATTATTTGATGCACAGAGAAGATGAAGAAGAAGAACAAAAGTTTTAGTGCGTGTGCTTGTGTGTGTGTGAGTGTGTGTGTGTGATAGAGAGTTTGGAATGGAGGGCAATGGTGCTTTGAAGGTGAGAGACATGCAACACAGTAATAGACTAACAGTAGACAGAATATAGCATCCCTAGCAAACAGCTGACAAAGTATTGATTAGACAAATTAGTCCACTCTAGATAGAATTAATCGTTTCCAAACAGGCCCGTAGATTCATCCTTCTTTGTTTACACACTGCTACACTTCAAAACGGACATTACAAAATCAGGTCTTTTTAGCCAATAGATCCAAATAAAAAAAATAAAAGGCACAACATATGTACCACAAACATGGAACCAACAAAAGATGCAAATTAATTTAACCTTAAAACATCCAGGAAAACATGCAATGAATTCAGGAAGTTGGATCAGTATAAATTTCCTAAGCAAAAGCTGCATAATAACAATCCATTGGAACATGTTACCTCGACTTCCTGAATGTAAGCATAATCATAACCAGAATCTTGGACAACATCAAGATAAGAAGCAATTAAAAAGTCCCCCAGGTACTTGCGAAGAATATTAACAATTCCTCCATACCTTCCATTCCTGTAAATAAAACAACCTTTTGAAATAACTCAATGAAAATTGCCCTTGAGCAAATGGAAAACTGAGTCATATTCTCACATAGTTAATTCATCAGAGCAGATGGTAAGCCAACGTCTAAATGAAGAGGCCTTCTTATTGATCCCTCTAAATGAATTTGGAGGTACTGGCATCTTCGGAAGGCAAAATAAGTCAATATCTGTGATATTCATTTGATCTATTTGCTCCAGCGATGACAGCAATGTTTCTTTAGAAACTCCTGCAAATGAAGCTGGAGAAATCTCGAATTCATGAGATCTGAAGTGGGAAAGTAGTTGATAAATTTTCAAAAATTTTGGAAAAATTTTTCACTTGCTTGCCCACAAAATTAAAGAAATAAAATCAATAATAAAAAGAAAAAAGAGGCCAAGAAAAAGGAAAATTACCGGCCAATATCTTCCTTGCAATCCCAACAAACTCTTCTATAATCTTCCCAAGATTCCAATCCCTTGGAGGCTAAAGAACCAGAAGAAAGGTAAATAACCACAATATACAGTGGTGAAACAAATACAAACCCATGATTATTGAAGAGGTTTTCAACTACCTTAAGTGGATTAACGCTTCCAAGGACTATTTCATCCACCACTGCTTGCATGTACCTGAAGGCAATATACATTAGGACCTTACCTATGGAAAACATATAAACAATGCCAAAAATCATAACCAAGGACAGTAGAAGATGGTCATGACATATGGATGTCCTAGATGGAACCATTGATCAGCCATCTGCACAAGGGTCTTTACCCAGCATTATAGAGTTGATTACCATGAGACATTTGCTCATGCTGTGCAAGAACTGTCAGGGTCCTTTCTGTTGTACAAATAAGAATTGGGAATTATCCAAATTCCTGGATGTTAAAAAAGCTTTCCTCCATGGACAAATCGAGGAAGACGTCTACGTGTAGCAGCCAGTAGTCCCTGCTCACAAGGCATGTCCAAGCCTTGCGTGTCAATTTAAGAAAGCCCCTCCATGGCCCAAAACATCCTCCTCAAGTATGGTTTGAGATATGCAATCAAGCCATGACCCATGATGGATATACATGTAGCTCCTTATATTTTATGTTTATGAAGAAACAGAGGCAAGGAACTACTATTCTATTAGTATATGTTGATGATGTCATTTTCATAGGGGTATGATACTAAATAAATAAATACTTAAGACGTATCTACACGAACAGTTAGATATTAAGGATACAGGAGTTAAAATACTTTCTGGGTGTTAAGGTTGCACGGTTGAAGAAAGGAATTTTTATATTCCTACATAAATATACCTTAGATACTCTGCTATATCTGAGGGAGAAAATAACGTTGGCAACTAGTCGCATAGAATCTCCAGTGGATCCAAATTTCAAACCAGTTCTCAATTCTGGTACTTCATTGGAGGACAATGGCTACTCCCAGAGCATAGTGGATCAGCATATCTATTTGACCATTACGTGCCCCGAGGTCATATTCGTAGTTAGCTCAATGAGTTAATATGTTATACATGCATGCTCCACAAACTGGTCATCTTGAGGTAGTCAATCGCACATACACTACCTAAAATCATCTCCAGAGAAACGGATGCTTATGCGCCACTCACATTTATCTGTGTGGGTGTACTGACGTGATTTGGGCAGGATGCTCTCTGGACAGGTGATCCACCATTGCCTATTGCACTTTTATTGGAGGCAATCTTGTGACGTGGTGTAGAAAAAAACAAAATGTTACAACTCGTTCTAGTGCAGAAGCAGAGTACCAACTATCATCAAATTCATGTGAGCAGGTATGGTTGAAAGGACTTTTTAAAGATATGGGTCTTCCTCTTCAGGGTTCTACGCAACTCTACTGTTATCATCAGCCTGCCATCCACATAGCAATCAACCTAGTAATCCACGAGCACACTAGAAACATTGAAGTTGACTGTCATCTCCACTCCTTATGTGAAAACCTCTGAAAAACTTGCTCACATTTTCACCAAAGGAGTTTCGTGGGGACGGTTAAGATAATTTATTGGCAAGTTGGGCATTCATGACATTCACGCACCAAATTTGTGGGGGGGAGTATGGACAAAGTCAAACCATATGGGAAGATTTATCCTTTATGTATATTTATGCTTATGTTATAGTTAGTACCGGTCAATATAAGGACTTATTAGTGTACAATGTAAAAGCTATTATACCATATGAATCTATCTAAACGAAATGCTATTGCTATGCAATGTAGCTCTATAATGGGGCACACAAGGGCAAAGAACCAGGCACTAACAGAAGATGGCCATCCACATTTTGAACCCAACCTGTAATTAATTTGTTGCGAGCACAGCTTTTTTAGCCCAATTGGGTGGGTAATATCTTAACTCTTTAATTCCTTTCAATCCTCGTATTCCTTTCACCCCTAACTTGCAGTATTTAATCTAAATCATGAACTTGTGCCTTACGCATGTCCAACACATCCCTATGAAAGAAACGGATTCTAGCAAAAGAAACTAAACAAATCAAGTTTATATTCAATATGGTCAAAAGCTGGAGGAACATTGTCATTTTTAGTGAGAGATATGGGGTGAGTTTCGTGAGTAGCTGGTGAACTGCAGGAGAGGATGAGGTGTTCCCACGAGAAAGAATTGGGGCGAAGTTCATAAGGCTGAAGGGAATTTCTTTTTTTTGGGTAGATCAGTGGGGAATACAAGCCCCTACCCGTTTTTGGAAATATTTAGCAGTTTTCGAATGCGTCAGTGGGAATGGAAACCTAAACCAGTAGTGAAGGAATTGCATCCAACCTTGTGCAGACCACTAGATCTTCATAAATGAGCATGAGGATAATAGAGGAAGAGGATTCTGACCCAGAGGACATCAAGGAGGGAAAGCACAATTTGAGGAGAGGGACAACTCTAATGATGACAGCTTGCCATCACACACAAAGTAGGGATCGCAATGATGGAAATGTTGTGATGCTCGTGATGAGGCTATGGACCTTAACAATGAGACTTAGCATGAATTTTGAAATTTGATTTCTTGATTTTCTGTTTTATGAATTAGGAGTGGGTTCACAGGCCTCACGAGACTTGTTTTTACTACTATGGTCTGTTTAATCCATATCGCCCTTTGCCTATGGTCCATATGCTGTATAAATCACTGTCAGTTTGTTTCAAGTCTCCGTTAAGTATGGTGAATTTATAATGTTTGAAATTCAAGTTTCAATCTTCTAATACTGTAATTTGTTGGTGACGAATCCACAGTCCATAAATTCAATAAATTTAATCTTTTTTCTGTTCATCGAACACATTCCACACAATATTTGATTTACAAACGAAAAATAAAATAAACAAAAATAAAAATTTACTGGATTTGGCCTCAAACCGAACCCCCGTCCCCCGCACTATATCTAGAGCACTTTATTCAAGAGGAGTGCCACAGGTCCTAGCTACCTAGACAGCACATTACAACTTTTTAAGCCCCGGATATTAGTACGTCTATAGGTAATTTCATAGAACATTAATTTCCTATTTATCAAAAGCAAAGAATCCTATGCACTTATTTCAGCATTGAACAGTATCATAAGAGGATCAAATAATATCACAAGAAGAATGAGCAACCTGCCACCAATAAATCAGTGCACAAAGGGTAATCGTTACAGTTCTTGTTTGACAAACTTCAGAGATGTGGGAATACATATAACCCAGTTCTTAAAATATTACAAGTTACTACTTTGTAAATATGATATAGTCTTCTCAACTTTGGTAACAATGTCTACGAATTACTTTTGGGATTTGCAAGACAAGACTTTACTAATTGTATGCATGGAGCAATAGGGGATAACAAGCCTAACACAGCAAGTAAAATACCTGTACAGGAGGAGAACAGGAGACAAGAAGGCAAAGGAAAGGGGTATTCACGGCAAGTCAAAGGAACTTGTGCCCACACAAGTATCCAAATGAGAGAAATGCATGTGCGATATCTGAAAATAGGTGCTTATTTGGTAGGCCATCAAGAGACTCACTGATATATTCGTTCGCAACACTTCTCGGAATCACCCATTAATATTGATTGTCTAAGATCATAAATATGCTTGCGTTGCACCTACAAGTAAAGAGGAACGACGTTCAGATAATTCAGTTTTTTACCCAAGCCTGAAGTATAATGCTCAAAAGACAGAATAGTGGTATTATTGAAGTACATAGCTTCAGTTTTTTACCCAAGTAGCCTGAAGTATAATGCTCAAAAGACAGAATAGTGTCATTATTGAAGTACATAGCTGCTTTTTAAAGCATTGGCATGATGAAAGAAAAATTAAAACAAAATAAATTTGACAAATTCCGCAAAGGATGGCCATTTTACGAGTGGGTTCAAGGCTAAGTGGTCAGGGTGGAGAGTCTCCATAACATGATGTCTTGAGTTCCATTCCCACCATGGTTAGGGGAGGACCCCTTGCCCGCTGAACTACCCCACAGAAACCAAAAACAGCAAAGGAACGACTAGTTCAAAACTTAATAAATCAAACATATCCCTACACACTCCCAGATTTAGGTATCGATTCTTAACATAGTCCACATTTTTAATTTTAAATTTGACACTTCCCAGTGTTCCTTTCGTAATGACTTTTAAGAGATTGAAAAGGTCTTATTGTATTTTTGTACATTTTTATGACAATGAAAGTTTTCTTTTCACGTTAATGTATTTCCAATACATTGCAACTTAAATGACTCAAAAGTTCTTTATATTTAATTGAATTACACTTTTAATTCCCATAGAATTTCTTGAAATAATTCTCTTCTATTGTTAGGGTTTGTGGCCTTCAAAAGCCATGAGAGAATGTAAATATAATAAATGATAGTGAATTGTGCACTTCAGTGGGAGTGTATGATGGTTGACTGACCTAAGGTTAGACAGTTAATGGCCTAGGTTATGCCCAAAACCCTTGCCCCTTGGAAAAGGCACTATAGTCAAGAGCTTATAGATTTCCCCTTGCAAATATTAATATGGTTAAGTATGGATTTTTGTAACTAAGAAGATATTGTTGTCAACATATAGTCAAACTTAGTAAATGCCTTTTAAAATAGAAATAGACGAAATGCAATTCTTGTTGTAAACTTGAGTGGTTTGCAAATGCATGTCAAATGCTATGAGCTAATATAAATAGAGAAAAATATTAATTGTCGTTCCCAATCCATTTACTTGAAATACAAATTATAGAAGGCCAATTATATTACAAATTTCCTACTATAATCCTTAATTTTTTCTACTCATTAGTTAGACAATTATGAAAATCCATGAAGTAAGGAAATCAGATTCCTCAAATTCAAAATTTATGTTTCATGAAAATCCCATAGAATTAAATTAAATAACATTAATTTTTCAGAAGCACCATTACGAAAGATAAATTCTCCCCGATAAAAATTGCAACCATAGAAATAAAAGAAAAACGAAAAAAGACACAGTGAGAACATTTAAAGACACCCATGTGTATAACAGGTAGATTTCTCACCCATCAAAAGACACCCATCGAGCATAACCAAAAACTTTCTAGACAGAGGAAAATTAATATATATATATACATATAGGGACTCACTGCTGTATGCCCATATGCCCATAAGCGAATGGCCCAGATTGAATCTAGGCCATTCTGTAGCCGATCAGACGCTCACGGATGTCCGATAGTGTTTGAATTTTCATTTTTTTTCTATAAATCCAAATCACTTGAAATGTTAGACGTGTGTTCTTCTCATCAAGGCGCACCTAATAAAAATATAAAAAAATAATTTGCAAAAAACAAATGACCAAAATACGCCCCAAAACTTTTCAAGAGTATTTTGGTCAATTTATTTTATGTAAAAAAAAATGATTTTTCTAATAGATTCGCCTATTTTTTAAGAACACATGCCAAAAATTTCAAATGATTTGGATTTGTAGAAAAAAAATTAAAATTCAAACAGTATCGGATATCCGTGATCGTCAGATCGGCTCAGATTCAATCTGGGCCGTGGGTGTTCACTGTAGCAATACGCACCTGTGTGCACAGCATCTTTTCCCATATATATATATATATATATATATATATATATATATATATATAACATAGTCGTCGTACGACATACTCTACTACCGTAAACGTACGGTACGTAGTAGTAGTACGTAGTACACTACTAATAGTAACGTACGTACGACGT